ATCCCTGGCACCTCCTCCACTGGGAAAGAGGAGCTAAAGTCAAAATCTAACCTCTATTTTCTAACCTCTAGCCCCCAGGGCCAGAAACAGAGAAGAAGACACAAACATAGTAGGAAGAACCACTGAGAAGAAACACTGCCCAGGAGGTTAGTCTCGCAGTGACTACGGTTGGCTAGGGTTGAGAAAGGTCTAGGGCCGTGGTCGGCAAACCACGGCTCTCAAGCCACATGTGGCTCTTTGGCCCCTTGAGTGTGGCTCTTCCACAAAATACCACGTGCGGGTGCGCACGTACAGCGCGACTGAAACTTCATGGGCCATGCGCAGAAGGCGGTATTTTGTGGAAGAGCCACACTCAAGGGGCCAAAGAGCCGCGTGTGGCTTGCGAGCCGCAGTTTGTCAATCACTGGTAGGGAGCAGGGAGTTGAACAATGTTTTCAAGGGACGGGGCAGGAGTAATAGAGTTAAGGGGGGAGGACAAGAGTTTCTAGAGAGGTAAATGAGCTTTGGCTTCTCTTTGAAGTAATATGGAGCCTCTGCCAGGTAAGACTGCATCCAGGAAGTTCTCAAGAGGAGGAAGGAGTGAAAGGTTAAGGATTGCTTCAGCCATGAGCTCTCTGTTCTGCCTCAGGACAATAGAAAACCCCTCTCCTCTTCTCCATCCCTCGAGGGTCTCTGCCCCAAAGCACAAATGATGCATTCTGGGTCCGTTATCTCTAACCAGCAAGGAGATGTGGGGGAGTGAATTCCATCACCAAAGTTCGGAGAATTTGCCAACAATGAAGCCACCAATGGGGTCTAGCAACCGTGCGACTTCCCATGGAAATGATGCCCAAAGCCCTTTCCAGTTGTAACACTTTACGTGATCATTGGAAATGCAAGAATCATCTTTCATTTTAGAACACAGAGATGAAATAAAGCAGGTACAGAAATACCAAAACACAAGATTTGCCTCAATTATCCCACAGCCCCCAGGGCCCAAATCTCTCACTAGAGTTGCCCAGAAGGGAGCAAAATTACTTGGTTTGATTATCCCCAGTCTTACGCTGGGGCCAAGGATATGACTGAGAAAGCAGAGAAAGGCCTTTAAGACTGGAGCCCAAGGAATTCACACACATGTGCCTCAACCCTCAAACAGCTGGGAATTAAGGAGGTGCTATGCCGGACTGGGACTGGGCCCCTGTCCTTAAGAAGCTTGTTATCAAAAGTACGTTCAGCCCACTGGTTGAGCATCTACCTATGAATTGGGAGGTCACCGTTTGGTTCCCAGGCATGTGCCTGGGTTTCCAGCTCGATCCCCAATGTGGGGCGTACGGGAGGCAACCGATCTATGATTCTCTCTCATTATTGATGTTTCTGTCTTTCTCTCCCTCTCCCTTCCTCTCTGAAATCAATAAAAAATATTTAAGAAAACAAATAAAGTACATTCAGTCTGGTGACATTTCACGGGCATTCAAGTCAAGGGACCCAATATGAATGAATTCTGCAACTCGACTGCCCCTTTCTGCTCTCCCAAGACTCAACGTCCACCCATCGTACCATCAAAATGATGAGCACAGGGTGAGACTGCCTGCTTCAAAGCCCTCCTGTCATTTACTAGCTGGCTGACACCAGTGTTAGCTATTATTATATTATCTGCCAGCTCAGCACTCCCCTGTCTGTAGACAGCAGCCAGCCTTCGAGGGGTGTATGTCTCTCCCCAATTTCCTACAAATGTCATGAAGCAGCCTTTCTTTCCCCCTCAGTTCCCATCCTGCCAACCCTATTTAAAGAGAAATACCGAAAGAACAGTTACCTCAGTACTGTCATATCGCTCTTCACTGAGCCGGAAAGGAAAGGTTCCAGAACATTCTCCTCCAACGCCTCCCCCAACTCCACCCCACCAGCTCTCCCTCCCTTGTTACCAAGGCTAAACTCAGGATGAATAACTGACATTTGTATGGTACCGTGCAGTTTTCAGAGTGCTTTTGCACACATGATTTTATTCAGTTCATAGCAAGCAGGACATTTCCTCCTTAAAATAATCCGGTGGGCCACGGGCATTATTTTTCCCATTTTACAGATATACAAACGAAGGCATAGATAGGTTCACAGGTTGTCCATGCTCACACAGTTAGGAAATAAGTCACACCAGGACTCAAGGCCAGGCCTCCTGACACGGAACCCACATCATCACGTCCAAGTTCACATCCTGGTAGCCTGAGGAGCCTAAAGTTTAGGGCTAGTTACGAACCCCACAGGGAACAGGGATGCCTCATTTGTCTCCTGACTGGTCTGAAAAGAGCTGTCCAGGCTGAAGGACCATAGACACGAGACACCTACAAAACACCAGGCCCAGGTGAGATGAGGGAACCACAGAATGGGAACCAAAGGCTCACAGGTGTGGGAGATCTACTGGGGCACCACTGGGTCATGGCAAAGACCGCGGGCAGTCCAGGCCGATGCCGCCTCAAAGGAGCAACAGAGAAAAGCCTGAGGCCTCCCTTACCCCAGCACACCCTGCAGGCCTCCCTCACCGAGGCTTCCAGGGAGCGGGAAATGGACAACTCCCTCTGGCCAGGGCTGATCACACACACCCATGCACACTCGGCAGTAAATTCAGAGCCATGGAAATGCAACCTGGGCTCACCCAGACCAACGGAGCAGCAGCCACCACTCCTCCGATGCTGGCTGCCAGGCGGAGCTATAAAATGTGCCTCGACTTAATTTTTCCATGGCCACCATCCCAGACGGGACTGCCAGGCTCCGGAGGAGCTGCAATGCTGAGGCCTCAGACCACGCAGTTCTGGGGCCCACGGCTGGAGTTGGGGAGGGAGGGGTCTTTGGGGGCCGGAGTGGCCACCCCCTGGGCCACTTCTCTTCCCATATCTTTCCAAGGGCCAGCGTGGCAACGAGCGAGTTTTCATTCAGGGACGGCTACCGGGTTGGAATTCCGTGCAAATTGCTTACATCTGGTTGGCCATGCCCCAGTCAGGTAGTTTAGAGAGAGGAGGCGCCCTGATGGCCCACTTTTGGGAGCAGGAGTAGCTGTGTGCTACAGAACCCGGGGCCATGCTGGGACCAGCCGGCCCAGGGTGCAAAATCCTCCAATGGGACAGAGAAAAAAACATCAGGGCAGCCGGAGACAATGGATTCCATCCCAGGCTGGTGAGACAGGGACAGGGACAGGGCAGCCACAAAGACCCCAAATGGGGGTGGAGATGCCAGGAGAGAAGGTTGGCATGAAGCAGCCAGAGCAATGGCAGATTCACCACACACACCCCACAGCCCTCAGCCACGGAGGGTGTGTGCACGCACTCACCTCTTGCACGCAGGACCCTGGACCCTGCCAAACCCCTGAGCTCCCCACCCTACCCCACCCCAACCCAGCTGGGCAGCCGCCCCCTTGGGCTCCCCGCCGCTGCTGCACGGCTCCCAGCTTCAAAGCCACCGCTGCTGGGAGCTGAAAATGACTGACAAGTACAGGCCAGGAGAGGAGCCCTCTCCCCTCTGCAGGGCCCGGAACTGGGGCCTGAGGGACCCTCTCCCTCTCCCAGGATTTCTCCTTTTGCTGCAGGATCCTTATAAGGGAGAAGCCAAGACTACCCTGCGTCTGGCTTAAAAAAAAAAAAAAAAGGTCTATATTCCCCAGGCTGGATGATGACTTTTCATCCACTGCCCGAGAAAGCACCACCCCGCCACCCCGATTCCAGGGCAGCTTGGCTTTTTATTTCTCATCTTAAACAAACAAACCACGGGTCGGTTCCGATCGCCTAGCAGCTGGGAGCTGGGAGTGTGTTGAACAGGGAAGGGGTGGGGAAGGCCCGGGAGCTCGAGGTGCCCGAAGCGGGCGGAGCG